GTGTGCTTGTGTGTGTGAGGGTAATTATGGATTATGCGACATATTTGGGTAGTGTGTGTGTGTGTGTGTGTGTGTGTGTGTGTGTGTGTGTGTGTGTGTGTGTGTGTGTGTGTGTGTGTGTGTGTGTGTGTGTGTGTCACCTGCACAACAAAATGTTTGTTAGAACAAAATGTCATCTTTGATTTGTCTTGTGATTAAAAAAAAACAACAGCATGGGTCTGGGCAATAAAACAATAGCAATAATTATCCCAATATCATTTTCATTAGAAGTGTGTGTGTGTGTGTGTGTGTGTGTAGTTTATTTATAGTTTCATGTTGTATGAATGTGGCTGATGAATGTATTTGTATCTCATCTCATCTTAACTTATCTTGTCTTATCTATTCTTGTCTCATTCTATCTGATCTTATTTCATTGTATCTTGTCTTATTGCATCTTAACTTATCTTATCTTTTCTTGTCTTATTCTATCTGATCTTATTTTATTGTATCTTTTCTTATTGTATCTTAACTTATCTTATCTTGTCTTATTCTATCTGATCTTATTTTATTGTATCTTGTCTTATTGCATCTTAACTTATCTTATCTTTTCTTGTCTTATTCTATCTCATCTTATTTCATTGTATCTTGTCTTATTCTATCTGATCTTATTTTATTGTATCTTGTCTTATTGCATCTTAACTTATCTTATCTTATCTTTTCTTATTCTATCTGCTCTTATTTTATTGTATCTTGGCTTGTTGTTTCTTATCTTATATTATTTAATCTGGTCTTATTATATCCAATCTTTTTTATTGTATCTTGTCTTATTGTATCATATCTTATATTATCTTGTCTTATTCTATCTGATGTTATCTTATTTTATCTTGTTTAATTGTATCTTATCTTGTCTTGACTTGTGTTTTGTATTGTGTAAGCACAGTGAGGAGGTATAGCACATACTTTATCTACCTCAGCAAAACTAATAATGTGTCATTTATCATGATAATTGTCGACATGAACATTTTATCTTGATTCAGTTTAAGCCATATCGTAGCCCTCATAAAAATTGTGCCTCACAATAACTCACTTAAGTCACACATAAATCTGAACAAGTTCTTGATCAGATATCGGATCCTCATCTTATGTTTCTTAATTCTTGTACAAGAGAGCCTGATGCCATAATTTGTTTAGTATCATCGGCTTATCTTTATTCTATCTTAAAAAACTATAGGTCCAATCAAGAACACAATGAGTTGTCTCACTCCAATAACTGTCTTGTTAAAACTTAAATGTTAAAAATAATGTATTGTAGAGATGTAATTTACTTCGCTGAAGATCTTGGTCTATAATCTGTTCCCTCTCAGGGACATTTTAAGTGGTTTTCATTACATTAGGACTTCTGGCGGATACTCATTAAGTCAATCATCACAACTCTGTGGCACACATCATTCGAGATCATTCAGGTCAAACTATTAAGTTTGTTATTGTGGCTGCTGATTTCCTTCTGCACAGCAAAAATGAAAAGGTTTGGTAAACACAAAATTGTAATGAAGCTTACTGCAGTAGATGTTTGAATTTTGAGGCTCTAACTCTATCTCCTAGGTTTCATCACAATCATTTATCATTTACCTTTCATCATTATAAAAACATAATATTTTAATTTCTAGATACTATTTTATTGTCACTGCTCACCAGGGTCCAGGAGATATAAACAGTATATTGTGAATGTAGATGTGACATTTTTCACTCACCAATGAACAATGTTTTCCTACTGAAATGTTCAATGTATATGGTCAATAAATAACATTGATGTAATATGATTGGCCAATCAAAGCCCTTTCTAGCATTGACTTACACATTCACACAGCACCTTTTCTATCCCACCACTCACACACTGCCAGCATAACCGTCAGGGGCAATTTAGGATTCAGTGTCTTTGTGTAGGGATTGAACCACCGACCCTCTTGTGGACAACCCACTTCACCTTCTAGAAAAAAATGTCGCCACATCCTGAAGGACAGCACACCTGTGAGCTGAGCTTTCATGTCTTCTTAGACAGATGCTTTGAGCTGCCACGTGTCCCTGTGCCTCCTCCTGAGAGACAGAGGAGAGAACCTCAGCCAGAACTGGCTCATGTAGGTTTGTATCAAATTTGTGGGAAATAGTGCATATTTAGGATTCATTTGATTCATTTATACAACAGGCTTGAAAATGTTAAAATAAGAGAAAATAGCCTTGAAATCCTGGGAGTTTTATTTAAAAGCCGTCCACATGAGCATTTCAGAGTAATTTAATAAAGAGTATAGACACAACCAACACGTGTGCATACCACTGAACGCCTTTTAAAATTCACAGAATATGAATAAAAAATGCACCATGCAACTTCTGATTGGTGGACACAAGCAATGCTAGAACACAACACACGTAGTAAACTGAGCTCATTATGAAAAACAAAGGGAATGTTGAGACAGAGTATGATGGTGTCCTCTGAACACAAGTGAAAGAGAGCAGAGAGAAACAGATCATACCTCCAGCTGTCTAAAATGGCTTCCTTTCCTATTTCCTACTCATATTAGGGCCTCAGAGGTGATTTGCTAAATATGTAACAAGCTAATGACAAGCTGTTGGATGCAACCAACCACTTCACCATCAGATACAGGTGATGTTACAAGAGGAAGTCATTTGAATTCTGATGGTGGTGCATTCCAGGTCTTGAAGTCTTGTGCGCTGCACCAAGACCAAGGCGTAGAGGCAGCCATTCAACCGGATGACGGTCATAATAACATTGGTTTTGGCACTTAGGGATTTAGAGGTAAGATGAACACGGCAGCAAGAGGAAGTGCTGGACAGGTAAGACGTCAGAGGGGGAGTTCTGGAGTTTTGCGCTCAGAAACGACCACGGATTCTTTCCAGTGGATCTGTCTCCCACATCTTGGTATCCCAAGCCTGGAACCAGCCAGTGAACGTCTGAGGTTCTGCTCCTTGTTTGATGGTGGTGATGGGAAGTCCTTTGCGACCAGATGGGTCTGACTCTAGGTACTCTTTTGCTACATTCAGAGGTAGACATAGAGGCAGAGGTAAGACACAGGCAGGAGACAAAGTGAGAACATGGACAAATCATTTAACACTGAAAATTAGAACATTTTAATCTGCATTAATTGATTTTTGCTCACTTTTGCCTCATTGTCAATATAAACAATATTTGTTATTTAAACTTTAAAGGTCCAGTGTGTAAGATTTAGGTGAAAGGGATCTATTGGCAGATATTTAATGAAGAATAATCCTCATGATGTTTTCACTAGTTCGTTTCATCTAAATTGTATGAATTGTAGTTTTCTTTACCCCAGAAAAGGCCCTTTATATTTAAATACTTTACATTTTACATTGAGGGGACCATCTCTACCCTCTCACAATTTATTGTGAAGTGAATAAGTGTGATGCTTTGGGTGCCTTTTTAAGGTGCCAAGTGCCTTTAAACTCTTTAACTTTACATAAACCCAAAATTTATGAATCTATAATGTCATATAATAGCATGACAGTATAATCTGATTGTTTCTTGCATTAGAGTTTTAGTGCAACCAACCTATTTTGGGAGCTCCATTCCTCTCCTCTGCGTTAGCATCATTTCCGACCCAAAGGAAGATCTACAAGGAGGAGAGACACACTCACAGTCACTCAGCAAGTCTGGCAGAAAAGTTTTATGAGCAGGTCATAACAGAACTCATCTCACCTGGTCCCAGGTATCCAGGATCATGACATCATCAGTGGCCAGATCCGACTGAGTGAAGTCTCCTGGTACTTCATCAACCTGAGACGCAGCAGAAGACAAAAATCAGTGTGTTTAAGTTTGTAGAACTTCAATTTCAGCATTAGTTTGATATTATTGTGTTGATCTTGTAATAAAATGTCCTCCTCTGTTATTGTACATGCAACAACTCTTATCTTTTCACTCAGAGACTTACAGCAAGTCTCCCACTTTTGTTGGTGCAGCCGAACAGACGTGGGAGTTTGACCATCCTCTGCAGACTCCTTGACGTCTGGTATTCCTTTCGACCGCCAAGAGCTGACCAGAAATCAGCTGCGAGGCAAAAAATACAACATCCATCCGTCACAAGTAGTTTTTTCTCGCCTATCTGGGCTTGGTTTGTTTGAACAGGAAATGAATCACGTCCGTTTTACTCCAATCAACCACAAGATGCATCATCGTTTTACGTCAAGCAGCTCTTTTATCTATGGCCAATGAGAAAAATAAAATCTGCATGGCAAAATACATAATGCAGCAATCAGAAACAGAGGTGGTCATTTTATCTTTTAAACTTTCATCATGAAAACAGGACTGAATTGTTTTTAACTAAGTTGTATTCAAATTTAACCAATAACTTAGTGTGACTAAGTACCACTGCTAAGAAGGTTATGTTTTCATCTGCTTTTGTTTTTCTGTTATTTGGCAGGATTAAGCAACCTTGTGAAATCATGTACTATAATATCTTGGTGTGGATCCAGATCAGGAGGCGGATCCAGGATTCACCTTTCTTAATATTGTGAAATAGGGGGTTTTCCAACATTTTCTGTGATTTCTCAGAGAAAGATTCATGGATCTTAAAGACAGAATCATACATGTGAATTTAAATGTGGTTTCAAAAGGGGACTGTTGGGCCTTGGTGCACTTGGTTCTAGTTTCCATATAACTTCAAGTGTAAATCGTTGGTTAGCTAACTAATCAATAATTGTCAAAATCAGACAATTGTTATCCACGTTATCGTCTAAAATAGTAGCGATAGTCCACTGGTTTCTTTCCATGAGGGGATAAGTGTTGATTGTCAAGCTAATATTAACTGAGTCTTTTCTCTTGTTATGTTACGTATAGCATAGCGGTCCTCTGGGACACCCACCTGGCTCCTTGCCCTCTGACACTTGGCTGGCACTGCCACCCAAGAAACTCACTACATGTTTGGCAGCTGCCGCCTCCTCGTCACTGGCTCCCATGCCCCGCCAAACCATCATGGCGCTGGGGGATTTCAGCACAAACACGTCGTTGGTGTTCAGATTGGAGGCACAGGCCACGACCTGAGTAAACAGCGTGCAGGCAAATGAGAGGTGAGAATGATACATCTCTACAGCATGTCAGTTTCACAGGGGTGTGTGCATACAGCTCACCTCCACAGCACGAGTCGCACGGGAGGAGCTCTGCCGGATGTGGAAGAGACGAGTGCTGCTGGTCTGCGACTGTCCACCTTTGCGTGACGTCCCTCCGCTGTGGATGATCATGGGTTTGCCCTGGAACAGGCTCATCAGGTGGGGAGGCTCCTGACCCTGAGTCACTCTCACCTGTGGTTGAAGCCATGAAAAAACATCTCTATGATCACTATTCTAGTTTAGCCTGCATCTATGTAGAAAAAGGAATAATATTATATAAATATCAATGAAACATTTGTATATATGTAAATATATATGACAGTTAATGTCCAGTGTTAGCCCAGTTTTCAGTATTCAGCGTATCAAGTAATATCAAATGTTTGCTTAACCTATTTTGCAAGTTTTAGCTCTATAAATGATATGTACTCTAAATATATTCAAATCATATTGATAATGAACTGTGTACAGTTTAGTATCATACATCTACATTACTTTTTGTCAGTGTAATGTCTTTACCAGCTGTATATATACAGCATCATACAATATTCAACACGAAACAATGACTGCTTGAAATGGAAGAAAAGGTACATTTAAGTTTCACAGTTTTATGGATTGCAAATTAATACCTGTTCAGATTTTCAGTAAATGTGCAGAAACACAAAGCTAAGAAAAAAATGCTGAAAATAGACTGATGAAAATAGTTTGATGTTTTCATTATTGCTGAGTGTTTGACTTCAGGACATGTTTCCCTCTGTTTTGATGCCAAGATCATTAAGAAAGAGGATAAACTCCTTCTTAAGTAAAGGATTTAGTGTTTCTTTTTTTTTATTTAACTGGGAGATGAACTGTAGCACCGTTTCTTCCAATTCTACTGTGGCCACAAACATGGTGAAGCAATTTTGTGATATGTGGAGGTGCCATAGATTGAGTCGAGTGGAGACGCACAAAAAATAAAGTAACACTGCCCTCTGCTGGTTGTCCCAGGCTGTTTGTTTGTCTTAGCAGAAGAATACATTTACTTATGACATATTTATCTCCCTGATCTCTATAGTCATTCACAATGAACACTATAATAATTAGTCTTTATTTATCCATAGTGCTGCAACATGAGGCAGAAATGTCACTCTTTTGCCTCAGGGAGCCATGAAAGCCTAAGCAAACCACTTTGACCAGTTACAGTTAAATGAATTAAGTGATAAAAGGGTAAACAGTGTGTGTTGTCATGAAAGTTTGAAGTTAATTTTGACACCATAAGCTGCAACTTCTTACTTAACTGCCACAATCCTCTTCTCCTTTTCAGAGAACTCAGGCAACTTTGTCTACATGTTTCATTTCTATTTCTATTTGATTCTAAAAAGAAAAGCTTTCAAAAGTCTTAGTCAGATTACTGTGGGGTTGCACAGTTGTTGTTTTACACGTGATAAAAAGGAGAACAGTGCCTGTGCATCCTGCACTAACCTGAACTGGGGATCCTCCCATTGAGTCATCGAGCTTCACTGTGAGGAATGCTGATGCTGCCAGTTCATCCTGGCTGCACTTCAGCCCCTGCCTGTGACACACACACACACACACACACACACACACACACACACACACACTGCATGACTTTCACAGAATTTTACCGGAATGTAATGTGTGTGGTTAGACTGGGTGTGGTGTGGTAACATGTGAACGCACTCTTCCACAGCATTGTAATTAATGTTAGCATATTAGTATTAGACAGTGATACGATACACACGTTTGTGTGGATATTTCTTTGAACTCACCAGGTGTATATGATGTGTTGCTCCCGGCCTCCGAGTCTGTAGCTGTAGAGGATGAGGTAACAGTCTCCGCCAAAGAAGTGACCGTGGGATGATGGATCCACAGGCGCTATTTCACCATTGTCAACTCGCCAGATCTGAAAGCCAGACCACAGTTTACACATCTCACCAATCACACTGTTTTACACTGTTTTCTTTATTATAAACCATCACCATACCTGGACCTTGCCCTTGCCATCATCCACCATGCCGTGCTGAGCTGCCATGGTTTTGTTTGAGTGCAGGGTGGAGGCATCGAAGGGCACCTGCTCCACTTTTGCTATGCGGCCGATGGTGTAGGCCTTAGTGGGGCCTGTGGTCTCGTCCTTGTCCTTCCAGTCACCGAAGAACTGCTTGAACAGAGTTGTCTCTGCTCCTGCGGGAAGTACCTGGATCTGTGAGGGGATGACGGATTTAAACTCGATAAACTCTCCCCGTGTGTTTAATTTGTTGCTTTTTGTCTTGACATTAAAATGATATATGTGATTTTTTCTCTCAGTGTAACATTGATGTAACAGCGGTTAACAACCTGTCCATGTCAGCTTTACCTGTGTCTTATTGGAGTATCCCTTGTCTCTGATGAACTGCTGACCTGCAGACATGGCTGCTTTACGCTCCGACATGTTGGCCTTGGGACCTGGTTGGAGACAAAAACAAGGAGGACATGATGAAGAGCCCATAAATCCCTATACATCATATTAAAGCTTTAAGGTGTTTTTTTAAATCAGGGCAGGTCTGTATTATCAACTGGGCTAATCCCATCGCAGAGGTTTCACTTAGACCGTATTCAGACTTCATATAATCATCCGTCCTGATTGGTCTGATTCCAAGTGGGCAGCTCTAAGTTAAAGTCTGAACACAAACACACACACACCTCCAGGAGGCTCAGACATTGATAAAACTAAATAACTGTAGATTTGGTCACTCTCGCTGTAGCAGTTTAAGCATTTGAGTGAATCAGGGGCAGAACAGCTGTTTTTCCTGTGTTTAGCTTGGAGGCCCAACTAATTGCAAACACACATTTTCCACCTAACTTCTCTGGAAAAAAATCTGTGAGGAGGAAACTAAAAGGCTATTGTAAGGCTGCTGGCACCTTTCCATACAAAGATGTTCTTGTCCACCCCGTTGTCCAGGATGTAGCACTCCTCTGGAGACAGCATGGCCTGTTTGAAGGGACTGGACGGAGCCACTGGTGAAACCTTCATTGAACCAGATGCATCAGAGATCTAGAAAGCAGAGTAATAGAGTTAGCTACCAGATTGTCAATGAACATTTTTTTGGGATGTGGTGGAATGGACTAGAGAGTGGATACCCAAACCGAGCCGGGTTCATTTTGTATAGTCTCAGCTGGGTTTGGACAAAATGTTTGTTTAGGGTGAGGACGGTCTAATGTTTGCTTGGCTATCGGTGTGCCTGTAATCAGGGAAAACTTTGGGATCATTTTTGGTTTGGACAAAAGAAACAGAATGCCTGTTGGGTTTAGGTCAGATTCCATTCATTTGCTGTCAGGCTCGGACAGCGACAGAAAGTGTGGCCCCAGCCCAACTCAGATTTTTGAAAATGACACTCAGTAATTTATAAACAATGGATAGTTTACACTTCATGGGAACTAGATTCAGTTTGTGTTATTGAAGTTCTGGTTTTCAAATTCAAAAAAGCAGAAACACAAGAATATAACAAAATCTTGTATGTGCAGTCAGTGTAATTCATCACTTGTGTCACTCACCATGTAGAGGGCGCCCTTCTTCCTGTTGGAGGTGTCCACCTTCTCATCATCAGTAGTGCTGGGGGCAATGGTGGGTTTAGGACCTAGAACCTTAACAACAACAACCAGAGGAACTAATTATTGTGTTCTCTTTTTGTCATAAACATCACTTGTGCCTCAAGTTATGATTGTGTGTTAAAGCAGCGAGCAGCCTTGATGGAGACTGTAATCTACAGCTTTTCTCAGATTAAACACGATCTGGTGGATCTAAAACAGACTCTGTGAACCATCTTCCCCTCTTCTCTCTCTCATCGGGCCTCTCTGCAGTTTACCTTCCTCTCTCATTGTAAAGGAAGTGTTCACAAAGCCGCTTGGCACAGAATTGGCAAACAAACAGCACATTACAAAGGACAGCACTGAGTCCCCCCTCGTTCCCACGCCGACTAACTCACTGGCCGTGAAATGCATCAAGGGCACTTATGGCTTCTGCTCTGGAGAGATCACCTTCAGGATCAGAAAAAAGAGGACTGTCTGATTGTGCATCACCTCTATGACATCTGCCGGCTCCTCCCCCTCGTCCACCATGTGCAGTTTGGCTCTGCCGTTTCTCTCATTGTCTCTGATGTCGATGGCGACCTCAGAGGCCTTGAGCCGCTCGTAACGGTTGCACTCACTGCCACACCACTGGTAGACGTTCTGCGGGAGAGGAAGAGACAGGAAGCTGAGATCAAAGTGCATCAATTTTTAGTCCTAGATGATTTGATGACAACTCTGGTTACTATGGTGACATGGTAGCAGGAAGCAGGGGGGGGGGGCAGCAAACACACAGCTCTTTTGTCAGAAATACAATTGTTTAAAACTGCACCTGGTATATCCATTTCCAATTTTGTTTGTTTTAATAAAGAATAAACTCATTACTCATTCTCCCTCCTTCATATGAGCAGGTATGATCAGGTGTCAAATCCATCATGCAAGTTGAATTAAGAAAAAACCGGACACTAAAACTACTGTGTGAGTGGTTCATTACAGAATGTGAATACACATCATTTTTATTCCTGAGAAAAATAATGACTATATGTAAAATAATAATGACCATACATATTATTCAAAGTGGTTTATGTTATGAATAAAGTCACTCTGTTCAAAAGAACAAAGTATTACTGTGAAGATATGCTGTATTACAATATAGTGTCTGACCTATGAGTGAGTGTATGAGTGAACAGAATATGGAACAGTCACCCATCAACCCTGTGCTATAAACATTCAACACACACACACACACACACACACACACACACACACACACACACACGCACACTCATATGTATATTTATTTGTTCCTATTTTGTCTTCATAGTGAGTATTCTTATTTTGCTGCTGCATATTCATTCTGTATTTGTATATGTATATTCTATTCTCTACATGTATCTTATTCTTCTTATATTATTACTATGTTAGAACTATTATTATTACACACACATAGCTTTCGCAGCTATCCTTGTCGGGACTTTATATTGACTTCCATTCATTGTGGACAGCCTAACCAAAACCTTATCCCTAAGATCAGAAATTATGTTTTGCCTCACTAGGATCAGGCTTTGGTCCCCATGAGCTCTCCTGGTCCTGACAAGCCTATGCTGGAAAAACTTTTAAAGAGGGAACAAAAAAGAATAGACACACACACACACACAAAAAGAAAAACAGCGCTCACCTTCCCCAGGTCAATTATGAAGCAGTCTCCCTTGTTGAAGCTGGTCCAGGTCATGTCCACCTCTGTGGCTCTGATGGCTCTCCGACCCTTGATGTGCAGCAGGCGCTTCACACTCATGTCATTGGTCACCACATGCTGAAAACCTGAGGCCGCGCCCCCTTTCTGTGACAAAAAAACCCCCAATAATTCAGGTGAAGTAAACTTTCCTGAATTTCCAGGTTCATTTGAAATGTGTACATGAGAAGAAAAAAGTCACTAATTGTACATAATGTACACAGATTTATGAGTTTATAGCCATGATATTCGGGTCCAACACACACAGTCACACCTGCCACATTGAGAAGTTTGAAGCAAGATGTATGGAGCAGATGACTTCATGAGACACATGTAGGATCAAGATGAAATGAGTTGGGACACAACACCGTTAAGCCACAAACGACAATAGGTTGTAAAACCCACTGCCGAATGATTAGATTAACGTTGTAAATCATCTGGCACATCACAGCTACCCAAACCAATAAACCTTATCAAGTGGAAGAAATGAAAAGAACATGATGCCTGCTTCTGGCCAGAAGGAGGATCATGTACCTTGGAGGCTGGATTGTCTCGTGACGTGCCATCCTTAATGAAGCCATTAAACAAAGACATAAAATCAAACAGTGCAAAAGGACGACAGACTGAAGCGAACATTAACCCATCTCAGTTCATGTGTAGAAAAAACCAAAGGGGAATGACGACTTTCTTAAACCGTCCAAGGAAAGGTTGACCTTTACCCACAAAGGCTCGGAGTCTGGTTAGCATGTGGAATAGTGGCTATTCAGACCTCAAAATGGAAACCACATTCAAGCTGTTCATCTCTGTGCCTTTGTGAGTGACGCAGTAAAACTTTCCATGGCAACAATGCAGGCACTGTTTATTCTAATGGAAGAGCTGTTTCCTAACAGTGGAGTTACCAAAACTATGAGCAGATAATGAGGTTTGTTAGTTCTGTTGCTCGCTTGTTCTTCTTATGAAGATCATTGTGTGTGTGTGTGTGTTTCTGTACTTATTTATTTGTGAGGACTTTTCTTAGGGTTAGGGTTAGAATTAGGGTTAGACATTTAGTTTGGATGGTTAAGGTTAGCGTAATGGGCTAGGGAATACATTATGTCAATGAGTGTCCTCGCTAAGATACAAGTACAAACGTTTGTGTGCATCTGTGTATGTGTGTGTGTGTGTGCGTGTGTGCTGACTGGACTGTGGAGAAACAGTGTTTCCAACCTTTGCAAAAGTAGTAAACAACTCTTGGGGCTAATTACATCGAGCTAAAGCCAGGAGGGGGGTTGGATGGTCTTTCTGGAAAATGGGAACCAGATGGCTGGTAAACGTGGCTCAGCCTGTGTCTTTCCACATATTTTCTTTTGAACAGGCTGGTTGATTCAGTTATAGTCTAACTCAGTCAGTCAGACACACCCTGAATGGAAAAAGGGGAATGTTGTGTCTCCTCTGAACTTCAGACCCATAAGCTTAACAGCATTACAAAGTTCACGGGATGCTGACAATCATTAAACCCTGACAATATTGGGGTCTATTTTTAAGTCAAAGAGTTCTGACACATTTCTAAGTTTAAGTAATTACAACTCTCACTGTTGTCATAATCACTAACTTTGTATTTCTTTACAGTAAATGCTTATACTGTATCTGTGCAGTCCTTAATGTAGATCAGTGACTCTCAACCCTTTTTGTTTGTAAACCCTTTGTACAAATTAAAATATAATTAAAATGCTGACTTTTTAAACACTTTAATTTGTATATCTTTTTAATGACGAAGAGACATAAGAGTGTTCAGTATTTCAGGTTGAACAGGACTAAGAGTCTACAGCCTGTAGCCACTGGCTCTCTGTGGCTGTAATTAAGCACAACAGTGCTTTAATTAACGCCAGTATGCTAACACGCTGGCAAAGACAATGCCTTTATGTCATTGTTTTTTAGCAGGTATAATACCATGTTTAGCTGAGATTAGCGTGGATAGTGCTGTCTGTGCATAAAGATATCCTCAGATGCTAACGTCAGTTAATTTGCCCTAAATACAAAGCAGTTACAACTGGTGAGAATATCATTATTTTTTAAGTATTTTGTCAGAAACAAAATAAGGCTATAAGACGAACTGGTGCCGGTGATCTAACATGACGATGGTGCTAGATAAAAAGTAATAATTACTGAAGTTAGAATAATCTATCCTCAGGAGAACATGAATGTGAGTATTACATTTGAATCCATTCATTAGTTGAAACATTTATCAAAAAAAGAAAGAAAAATATAATGGTGGTGCTAAAGGACAAGTCAGGAGGATACACCATTAGGATTCATCCTCTGGGCTTCATGAATCCCTCTTTAAAATGTAGGGCTTATTCATCTAAACATGAGATGGTGCTGTACAAGATAGATAGGTAGGTAGGATAGGTGGGAGATAGATAGATAGATAGGTAGATAGATAGATAGGTAT